AAAATTTGTACAACTTAAGAGAAATTTCGAGCTGAATTTATAAACCTTCAAATGAACTCAAAATTTAGGTATAATAAAAATTAGAATTTTGACCATATATATCAGATTTTTTATATATTTTTGACATATGAATATTTTATACAATAAGCAATTTTGAAACTTTTTCAGATGAATTTTAATCTGAATTAAAAATTGTTACAAAACTCAATTATTTGTAATGCCCCAATAAATGGTTCAATTATAAATAAATTATCTATCACTATTAATTCAAGGACTACTTTTGAATACGTTTTTGTATACTATCTGTATACTATTTTTTATATATTTTTTACATATAAATATTTTATACAAGAAACAATTTTGTAAATCTGAACTTTCTAAGATAAATTTTTAACTGAATTTGAAAACCCGTAAAAACTCAATTTTTTGTGATGCTTCAATAAGTGGTATAATTATATATAAATTATTTATCTATTAATTCATGAACTACTTTTGTATACGCTATATGTAATTATTTTTTAAATCGTGCTTGCAATTAATCTAAATCATCTGACTAATAACCATCAACATATATCTTAAATGCAAAAAATTGGAAAATGTTTCGAATTTGTTTTCTTTTTTGTAATTCTCTCGATTGTTAAAAACTTTAGTAAATATTCTTCGGTGTCATTTCTTTTATCACTTGCTAAACAGTTTAGAGTTTTATTTGAAAATATTGCATGTAATAAATACAGCTTATTTTGAGATATTTCATAAATATTTATATGTGTTTTATCATTGATAATATAATATTGCATCAATCACCAATAAATAATTCCCTTAATTTCCTTTAGACCCGCAGACATTCCAGTTTTCAATGTAACAAACATGAACGAGAAGCAAATGATGAACTGGGGTCAAGTTTTGGAAACAGGAAGAGATTTGGGCAGAAAATATCCATTCGAAGGAGCAGTTTGGTATCCAAATGGCAACATCAGGAATAACAAATTGATTCACCAAATATGTGTTTTCCTCTTCCACATCATACCAGCTTACTTTTTCGACTTTATGATGCTCATCTTCAGACAGAAAAGATTGTAAGTGGAAAAACATTTCATACTTTAATTATAACTTATGGATCTTCGGATTTATATTATTAGTAAAATGGTAAAGTTAAATATTAATTTGATTTGCAAATTTTGTTATGATCTCTTGGCAATATTCGAGAAATTTTTCAATACTTAGTTTTTGTAAATCCTAGTAAAACTGGTTTTTAGTGCCTTGAAAGTTAGTTTTTGAATATATTGACGTAGTTTACGAAACATATATGGAACAAATTTACGTGAAATTATTATTATTATCATAACAATATTATCTTGAAATAATATTTTCAAATTATTATAATTTTTGGTTCGATATCCATTTTGGAATAAGATATATTCGAAAGTCGAAAATTCGAAAAGTCGTGTTTGACAATAATATTCGCAAAGAAATCATTTTTCAAAACGTAGAGAAAAAAATATAGGGCTAATTCATTCTAATATCAAATCAAAATTGTTTGATTTATTACCAAGACATCTTATCTATCAATTTTCTTTCAGCATGGTGCGTATCCAGAAACGAATTTCAGATGGATTAGATTTGTTGCAAGAATTCACAACAAGACAATGGATTTTTGATACTACCGAATTTGCTAAATTGTGGGCCGAAATGACACCGATGGATAAAAAGATGTTTTCTGTGATGGACGAAAGTGGTGATGTCACAGAATATGTGAAGAAGTGCATTATTGGTGCCAAGCAGTTCTGCATGAAGGAAAAGCTGGAGAATCTGCCCAAAGCTAGGATGCAACACCGATTGTTAGTTGATTTAATAATAATAATTCAGCAACTACTATAATATATTATTTGTAAACGTTGCAATTCGTCGATCTCATTACAATTTTTTATATATTTAATTTAACAGTAATCGGAACCTACGTCTTTCGAGCTCTTATGCTCGAACTTCTTCTCCCTTTTCAACACAAAAGTAACATATCTATATTTGTTACATTTTGATTATTAGAATTTATTTACTATTGCTCATGTATTTTTAATTTAATGCAACGATACCCTGGAAGGGCTATATTCACTCGGGAAAATATTTTCTTCTTTCCAAGTGGAAATGGATATCGCTGCTGGTTGATATCAGGTTGTCCGTAATTGGGATATAATCTTACTATTTGAATAATATATTCTGATTTTTATATAGAAGATTTTACGATATTATTCGTTAAGCTACATTTTATGCTACATATGGACTAGATAACCTGACATCGTGCAGTAGCGATGTCCATTTTTACTTGAAAATATAGATCTCAATTGTTTGCAATTGAAAACAGTCCATTTTGGAAACTGCTGTGTGAAATGGCAATAGAAAATCTTTCACACTATTTTTTCCTTGAATCGATTACTACTACCCATTATGATATAAATAAATAAAAATAAAGCTCTTTTGCCATGTCTTCCTTATAGATATAAATTTTATCACCAAACCCTGAATTTATTTTAGTCAACATTTTTTTATTCGGAAATCCTAGTTGTTTTTCTTATTCACCTCATTTTAAAATTAATTTTTAAACAAAAGCTTCATAAATGAAAACTGACCTGACCTGACCACATGAACCTAAAGTACATGATGAACTTTTCTCAAGCAGAATTAAAATTTTCAACGATTTCTTTTAAAATTGGCGTTAACTTATCTTATGATGATCGTAATGTCTTCAGAATGTATTTTATTTTTTCTATAATTTTTCATCTATTTTTATTTTTTCTATAATTTTTCAATTTTGCAGATTAAGCAAATTGACGAGATTATATAATAGTCATTTTTTTAAATCCTCAATCGATTTTATATTTTGTATATCTCAGTCAGGCGGAATATATGATTATTTTTACACATGTATGAAATGTTTGAAACAAAGCTCGTATTCTAACAAAAAAATTTTGGTTTGAACTACATAGAAATAAATGATAAAAACCTTTCAAAGTTAGTTATATTATCCTAGTTTAATTGTTCCTCGTAGAATATGTTCACTATAAATTTTCCTTTCTTGTGGAATTAACCAAATAATATTATTTTTAAAACATATAATTTATATTTAAATTGAATATTCTTTCAGCCTTTACGTATTGGATGTTGTGACCAAACTCGGTCTGGTGTACTGGTTCATCACCATGTTTTTGTCCTGGACTGGTCTGGACGTCACCTTTAACGAATATTACAGCCGGGCAGTACAAGTTGTCGAATAAAAATAATCACCTGTTAAGAAATGTTTTCATAATTAAAATTTTATTTTTTTATTATAACTTTATAATAATAGATTTGATTTTTTCAGTTAATTTTTGTTTCTTCGAAAAGATCTGTATTTTATATAAATACAGCACCGACAATATGCAATACTTTGCAAATATATTCAAGCCTTAGTTAATAATATTTTATATACCTTATATGATTTGAATTTCTGACATTTGAACAATAATTTGAGTTTTGGTTCTGAAATTATTTATAGTCATATACCACAATATATTACTGAATAAATTTGTGAATAATTAACATGTTACCTGAAAAATATTTAATATAGTTTTAATCTTAAGGAGATATATATATAATGGGCTACAATAATATACTTATATAATCTTATTTAAAAATGTATATTTGTAGATACTATCATTAATATAACTATAATTTTCTATAAACAATTTCTCATTACCTATGTTTTGTTTCAGAACATTTACCTAAATACTACCTTAAATTAATTTACCTTTTTTCATAAAATAATATGCCGAATTTATTATTACCTTTACATTTTCTTGACGTTTCAAGTAACCCTGAATCGTTTGACAAAATTAGAAAAATATGTTTGTGGATAAGTAAGCCAAAATTTGACCCATCGTCGTCGATATTTTCTCAAAAATCTGCTAAATCGATTTTACAAATTTAAAACCCATTCGTTGAAACTTGATAAGGACAAGTTTGAGCGATGATCGTCCGAGCAGTTTTTTTTTTAATTAGATAAACGAAAAATTTTCACCAACATTCCTAAGTTTCAAAAGATATATTATGTTGTTATGCCATCTCGCGGAAAATAACTCAATATGCCTGTTTCTCCTCAGGTAATCAGGTCGTAAGACATTGCAACCTGGCAACACGACCCTTTCCGCCCTCTATGCCAAATAGGCCTCAATCATTCATTCCAATTCCAACTATGAATCTTTTAACATCTACTTGTCAGTTAAATTAGTGAATAAATACATAAGTTATAAAAAGTGTTAACTGTTTTATTTATATTCAAAAACCATGAATCTGCGATATTGGCACAACAATGTGCATCGTGCTGTTTACCTTTTGGTGAGGATCGGATTACCTGTTTCTTCCTAATTAATTATTGAAGAAACACTTTACATAATTGTGGAGGTAGGCTATGGTCCAAAGTATGAACAATAGCATCTCTATTGGCTCTAAACAAAGTTTAGAATAATCACGATTTTTAAAAGTTGTCGAATCTTAATTACTATTGTGGAACTATTTCTAAGACAAAATGCCATTCACACCTGGTCAAAATTAAATACAGCTCGAATCAGTTAGTATTTGTTTTAACAGCAATCAAAACTTAAGAGTCTTTATACGTTGGTTTTAAAGATGGCAACCCAAACAGTTGTCTCATCTCTGAGTGAAGAATTTTATTATTACACTTTCATAATAGACCAAATATTTTATTGATGCAGCAATTCCGGATGAGGATTTACACGAGAAAACATATTATTATCTATATTTCCAAGTGAAAACCGATGTCACTACCGCTTGACAACAGGCTTCACGAAGCGGGATCGAACGCGGGACCTCTAATTTGCTCTTACCCACAATTTAGCCCGTTGTAAATTTAGTCTTACAATTTTTAATTCGAATATATTTTTTTATATATCCTGAAATACTCTAAACTAGAATAAATTATTTATATTTACTCACGATTCTTTGTAAACATGTCTGTTTAGAGGGCGGTACATTGCAACACTATTTTTCGTCATGAAGCAACTGCAAGAGGAGACTATTTGGCTTTCAAACTTTCGTCAAATTAATCACTTTTTTATAGTAGTTGTGAAATACAATGTCAGTCTTATTATTTGCAATTTTATAAAATATGAATGGTAATTACTTATTATTGTTCACAAAACCCGATACGATAAAAAATACTATACCTACGGGTAAATATCCGTAGTGAAAAATGTTATGTACATATTTATATTAATTGAAATATATGTTTTTAAAATTAAATGAAAGGTAATTAACACACATAAATACATTTCATACAATTTGCGCATACTTGTTCACTGTTTACGTTTATATGAGAATAATTTTCTATCTTCATATAATTGATGAGCTCAGTTTGATAATAGTGAAATTTATTTCTAAATTATATGACTTTAAATAATCAATATTTTTTTTTAATTATACATATTATAATTCACAAAATACTTTTTTCCTCCTCTTGTGTCACCTTTGTGGTCGCTCCTGATGATTCGCTCACCGTCAGAGGAATCACGTTAAACTTCGCCAATATTTGCTATAGAAAACTCTTAGTAAACACACAAATACGATGAGTATTTGTATTTGGGAGTACAATAAACAATATTTTGATTTTTATGATATTCCTATTTTTGTTTGACATGCATTTATAAATGATAACTAGTGGTGCATGGCATCGTGCCTTAAGGCAAATTGCTGGAACATTCCGTATCAAAAGTTTTTAAAAAAGATTCAATTTTTTTTTAGAACTTTGATAAAAATAAATTTTTGAGATTTTAAAAATGTTTGAATACAAATTACCTTCTAAAAAAATTTACATTTATAAATTTAAAATACTTCGAAATTTTTGGAAATTCGATAGAAATGTAAACAAAATTTGTTCTTATTATTTAACTATCTATAAAATATGTGTTAATTTGATTTGCAAATGTCCAATGTTCATTTTTGTTTGCCAAGTGCCTTTTTTTTTACTTTTTTTATTGGATGTCCGAAACCGCTAGACCTGCCTTTCAAAAATTTTATCAGTTCATCATTTCGTCAATAGAAATAAAATATTTTGTGAATCATTCAAACCGGTCGCTCGGATCTCTCAAAAACTGAATTACCATTTTTGTCACTTTTTGTCCCGTATTTTCGGAACGGCTGAACCTACATTTGTAGCAAAACTAATCAGCATGTCACCTTATCAATAGGAATCGAATATTTTTTGAATCATTCAAATTGGTTGATCCGTGTTTTCGAAATCGTTAACGAAAAATTTTAACCGCACATACATACACATACACGTATACACACACACACCTACATTTAGATTCTCCCCCACAAAGTAACGCCTAATGGGGGTACCGTGGGGACCAGAGGCAAGGGCAAAGCGGAGGTTTTAGTCGGTATTATACCCAGGCGGTATTGAGTCCGACATACCCTGGCAAAAGACCTAGTCTGGGATGCGTAAATGCATTTCCTTCGCTATACAAAAAAAAAACACACTACAGAAAATCTAAATAAATGTTTTATAACTCATTAAATTTTTGCATACTATTGCAATCGTCTACTTCGAAAAATAATTTAATACTACCTTAATACTGAAACTCATATTGCCATTCATGAATAAACATTTAAAATAATTAAAAAACATTTTGCCAAAGTATTTAGCAATATTTTACATTTTGAATAATTGGTAGGCAAATACTCATTGATTTGATCGTTAATGCGCATTCATTTTATTTGATATCAAGTTTTATTCGATTTTCTACTTTGAAATTTTGTCATATTTGTTAAAATTTTGTTAACTTGATTGGCATGTGGATGTTAGTAGTAGATTTCTTATCATCTAATTTCTATATTAACTAAATTAAAAAAAAATGTTTTTGCATACATACTATGCTTCAGATTTTAAAGACCATTAGTGACAAAAGTCATCAAGAATTTTTAAAAATACATAGTTAAAATTATATTTGATTTAGTCCATACTAATTATTTACTCATAATTATTCAATAACGATGGTGAGAACTTTTTCCAACTAATTCATTATATTTGTATAATATCATACATAAGAACAGTAAAACCATTAATATTGCTGATATTTTTTTTTATATACTAATATAGTTAAATTTTATATTAGATTATATTAGCTATAATTTGCTATAATTTTTCCACATACATTAATTTCACTCAAGGCTCTATATATTCGTTGAAATTTTAACATTTATTTTTTACTTATATTATTTCATATCTTGCTTTTTGTATTACATTTGATGATTTCTTTACTTGATATGCAGTTGCCAAATGTTTAATCTCTGCTAATATAAATACCTAAATATTTTAAGATAACTTTTAGTGACATCTGTTCATAATTTAAATTAATTTGATTGATTTCATTCGTGATTAAATGAGCGAATGTTGTTATATACTTGAAAATATTCCAAATGATGCCTTTTTAAAATTATTTTATAGTTATAATAAACATTTATTCTAAATGACAAAATCCCAGTAAAATAAACCTGAAGTAATTGTTGTGATATTAAAAATATTTTTACTGTTTCTTATTCAAGGTATAAGAGCAAACAAATTCTCCACTGTGAATGAGCATATGTCTATGTCTATCGACCCATATGTACCGCATACATTTTATTTTAATTTAGAAGAAATGCATTTTGTAAAACTTTGGCATATCTGTTTTTTTATATTTCAAAATTTTGACTAAAGCGTTTAGCTACGTATATTAATTCTATATTATATCCTATTCTATTCGATTTTTGTTTGATCCCGTTTTTTAACTTCAATGAATTTTTATAATTAAATCACTTCTCATGCGCCTGTTTTCTTATTCTCCGACTTACCATTTTGGTTGAAAGCCGCAATTACTATGTACACGTAGCAAAAGTTGTCTTATTACAAGTTTGCTTCCAATTTGTGAAATTAATTCGAAGACTAATGCATTTTGTAAACCTTTTGTCGTTGATATTTCTGATTTTTTATATTTCAAATTTTTTGGCTAAGGCATTTAGCCACGTATATTAATTGTAAATTATATCCTTTTCTATTCAATTTTTCAACCACGTTTTTCAACTTCAATGAATTTTTATAATTAATCTCGATTAAATTTTGACATATATTTTTGATGATAATTATATCATTATTCATATAATATTTCGAATTTTTGTATAATATCTACTGAAAAAGAGATACACTGGCACTCAAAACGTATATTTAAAAAGTTTTACTATAACCTGCTAAAACATCTCATTTTTCTGCGTGACTAT